AGAGGGGACACGGCCCCTTAGCGACGGGGGACAGAGGACACGCAGGCAGCACCTGCAGGGGCTTTTCTGGCCTTGCGCTGCCTGCGGGGGCTGTTGGAGCAGGGCAGGGCCAAACGCATCCTTGGGTTTGGGAAAGCGGCTGAGGAGGGGTCGGTGCACGCAAGGGCTGACCCTGGTGCTGCCTCTCTCTGCGCAGGCAGGGTGCTGAGCTGGGGAGCACCCGCTGCCAGCCCTCAGGGTGGCCGTGGGTGGCAGGAGCGTGGCCCCTCTGTGCGAGGGCAGTGGGGACAAGCAGGGGGCTCCCTGTGGAGCTCTGGCCGCTGGGGCTGCCCTCACGTAGCTGCCCTGTTCACATCCCTCAGCCCCGGCCCTGCTTGCAGCCGGGCTGCGTCCCTTCCCCGCGCCGCACAGAGCCTGCCAGGAGAGACCCCTGCACTTGGGGAGCTGCACAGCTGGGCAGGCTGGGTTTTAACTCGAACGGCAGACTTGGATCATTCCTGGTGTGGCTGATGAGGATTTTAGTGTGAATGTGCAATTTCATTTTTTTTTCTTGCTTACGATGTCCCTGGTTTAAAATAAAAAAGACTGTGTTCACGTCTGCCTGCCCACGCTTGATTCCTGGGCCTGGGGCACTGGTGGTGCTGCTTCCCAACACCCTCCAGCACATGGGTCCTTGCTCTCCTAGTCAAAGGCAGGTGCATGGACAAGATTATTATTAGTATTATTTATTATTTGACTCCCTACTCCCTTTGCTTCCCCTCTGAGCAGTCGCAGTTTTAGGGCAAAACTCTACACAGATGCTGGAAAAGGTGGTGAAGAGAGAAAAACTTTAATCTGTTTCATCCCTACAGTCAAGGGCACTTCTGCAACCCTCCATCATCCTGGGGCAAGGATTTTTCTGGGAGTGGAACGTGGTACAATAACGCCCTTGGGCCAGCCAGAGCCCTGCAGGGAGGCCCTCGGACTTGGTACTCAGTCCCAGGGTGTTGCAGGATTCTACCCTGGCTGCAGCTTTTCCAGAGTTCAGAGGCCCTGTGGTTGTCCAGGCAGCAGCAGAGCGCTCCCTGCCAGCCCCAGCTGGGCACCGTGCAGTCCTCAAATGGTTACTTCACTCCTTCACCCGCTGCTTCTTCCTTTTCCTCTTCCTGGGAGCCGCTCCTGGCTCTGTTCCTGCTCCATGTTGTGGAGTCCCCTCTGCTGCCGCAGGTAGGGAGCTGCAGACAAGAGTGAGTGCCTGAGCCGCGCACCCAGGCCCTGCTCACCGTGGCTCCAGCCCTCTCCTCTGACACCTGCACAGACCCCTTCATCATCTTCCTCCCACCAGGCAGGCAATGTCCCCCCCGGGTGCCCCTCAGCCTGGCCACACTCCCCCCCAGATGCTGCTGGAGGCAGACAGAGCCCTCCCCAACCACTCCTCTCACCTGGGGGAAGCAGCCCCTTCCCTGCACCGCTCCAGAACAGCCACAAAGAAGCCGTGGGTAAGCGTGGCTGTGGGAGAGGCGCGGAGGCAGCACTCGGCCCCCGGGAAGGCAGGGAGGGGCGAGGGGGGGAGGGCGTGCCCCAGCCTGTGGTGCGGGACGGGTCAGTGCCATCATCCTGCGCTGTGTCCCCCGCTGTCCCCCCCCAGCATCCCACGCACCTGAAGTCTGAGCCGCGCTCCTGCAGCACGGCGTGCACCACCTCCTCGTTCTCCTCCCGGTGCAGCGAGCAGGTGGAATAGACCAAGCGCTGGAGAGCCGGGAAGCTCAGGGCATGGCTCAAGACCTTGCGCTGGAAACCAGCCAGCGCCTGCAGCCGCTCGGCACTCGGGGCAGCCTCCTCCCTCGGCAGCCGGTTCACCATCCCTGCAGGCAGAGCTGTCACCCCGGGAGTCCCCACACCCAGAGCAGGCTCCAGGGGGGGTGGCCGGAGCCCACCTGCGTTACCTGAGCCGCTGCAGGACGGGTCGAGGAGGATGTGGGTCACCTTGCTGTACTTGGGGGCTCCAGGATCCACGGTCAGGAAGTCCTGCTGGGCCAGCTGGAAGCCGGTGACCCCAGCCCGCATCAGCATGGTGTTCATGGTGGCCAGGCGCTTGGTGTCCACGTCAAAAGCAAAGATCTGGCTGATGGCAGAGCCCAACGCCCAAGAGAGAGGCATGAACATCCCACCCAGCCCTGGGGACCGTGTCAAGGGCAGCAGGTTGCCCCTGCAGCCCCAAACACCGGGGGGCAGGCAGAGCACAGGAGCTGCTCCCCCAGGCAGAAGCACTGAGCAGGGCTGGAGAGGGAACCCTTCTATCCTCTTCCAACAGCCCAGCACCATCAGAGACGTGGGCATCAGTTGGCGTTAGTGGGGCAGGGTGAGGGACTGTGGCTCTTCCTGCCACCTCCTCCTTGTGCTCTCTGTGGGTTCAGGGGGACCAGGGTCACATGCACCCCCTCCCTGCCCTCCACGCGCTGCTGCCCTCACCCCTTGTTCTTCAGGATGGCGGCCAGGTGGTGTGCCCTGGGGCAGGGCAGGCATCGATGACGTGGGAGCCAGCAGCAGGGCCAAGGAGGAAGGCAGGGAGGCAGCTGGCCTGTGAGAGGGCACAGCCCTGTGAGGCACAGGCAGCACCATGGCCCTGCCTCAGGGCACGGCTGATGCTGCGGGGTCACAGGCAGCCACAGTGGCGTGGGGACGAGGCCCCTCCTGCCACCATCCGCTGCTGGAAGCCTCTGTCTGGCCCACAGCCCTGCACTCCTCCCAGCTCTTACGGGAGGTTTGCAGTCCAGTTCAAGAGCAATTCATTCTGTACCAATGGGCTGCAGAAGCAAAGCTCTGGTGCAGCCCCACAGCTGCGGGCACCATTTCTGCTCAAGCCTCGAGTGCTGCAGCAAAGTCAGCCCCAGCGCAGCCGGGAGGAACAGACTGACCCTCCACCACATCAGTGGTCCTCCTGCCCCTGCAGCCCTCCGCTCCCCCACCTTGTCCTGCAGAATGATGTGTCCCGAGGTGTAGAGCAGGTTGTCATGGAAGTCCGTCTGCGCAGGGAACACCAGCAGCTCCGGGAGATGAAGATCCAAGAAGAATTTCTTCCCAGAGAGGGCCCTCAGCTCCTCCACGCTGCCCACAAAGCACAGGGAGGATGAACGCAGCCCTGCTTCCCCAAGCCAGAGCCCAGGCTGGGAACCCCTTTCGCCACAACCCCCCCTCCACTTTGGCACCAGGGAGCACCCACAAAGGCAGAAAGTGAGACTGAGAAGTGACGGACACCCGAGCCTGGACACCGCGAGCACCGAGACCAACAACCCTTCAGCCCTCAGGACCTTGACCCAAGCCCTTGCCACTCGCTGACATCCCAGATAAGGTGAGACAGCAGAAGGAAGCACTCACCTGCCTGCCTTGCCCAGGTAGGAGTAGCCCTGGCGCTTGAAGAAGTCGATCACATCGTCCACACAAGTCTTCAGGGTGTTGACGCGGACGTAGCGCGGTACCTGGGAGGCTGGGGGAGTGCGGTCGCATCAGACACGACCCACTGCTGCTGCTGGCACAGGAAGAGCACCGGGTCCCAGGGCCCACTCACCTCCAGCACTCGCTCCCTGCTCCGGGGCCAGGAGGTCCTCGTTGCGGCTCACCTTCTGCTGCACCTTCAGGCGGGCCAGCTCAGCCTCCA